CGACAGGACATTTATCCACATAGAGATTACTCCCGCATTATACTTCCTTTACCGCTTGGGGTTTATTCTCTACCGCAATCTTACGCTGTTTTCACTCGTGTTGATAGTGGAACCTTTCAAGGCCGGGGGAAATGGATGCGCCAGGGGTCGCTTGCTGCCATTATCTTAAATAATCTATTTCGCCTCGGGAGTTGCATGTCATGACCTTGTGGGCAACACCCTGTCGACGTAGTCGCGTTCTAACTGTGGGCGCACTCACACGCGTCATTTTTCATTGCGCAACGCTAGTCGTATGTTTTAGCGTTCGTAGCTTACCGCTCGCTAGAAGAACATGCCGTGCACGTGTCGCAACAACGAAAACTTATAGAACTGTCGCCAGCAAGACTGTGTGATACCGCAAGAACTATTCGTATTAATCAGCCAATCGTGCTGAAGATAACCGCATCGCAGCTGTTGAAGTAAGAAGATCGCAAGTGAGCTTATGAACATGCAATTACGTAAGAGACGTTGTACTGATGATGTAATACAATTTACAACACCGTAACATTCCTTAAATTGGAATTAACAAGCGGTTTAATCACACACACATGCACACGCGCGCGCACACACGCACACGCTCTCACGCACGCACTCACACGTCCCCCCTCCTCCCACAAAAATTCGCAAAAATACTTGCGATTCTTGTCACTTAATGAAACTATCTTCATTTTTGGTACTTGTAAATATTTATTTTGGATTAGCCGACACATTCATGCATAGCTTCAGGACTCAACCACGTAAAAATTAAAAATATATAATAATAAAAAAAAAGAAGTTTAAAAATTTACTTTATTTTATACAAAATATTATTCTTAATCCAAAATGTTACAATTGTTTCTAAATATTAATAATAGTTCGGATAAAAGTTAAAGAATAATGCCTACAATCAAGCTCAAATTGGAAAAATTAATGGTTAATAAATAATTAACGTTTAATTTAATATGCTGTAACACATAATTATACAGAAACGAATGTTTAACAGTTTTCATTGTGTTTCGTTGTGTTAACAATTTAAAATACATCTTTGTATTATTATTAGTGTAAGCCTTACACTATTACAATAATACACTGTAAGGTAAAACTTATCTACTTTTTTCTTTGGACCTTCTCGTCAGTGCTTTATTTTTATTTAAACTGAAATTACATAGGACATACATACATAGGACCTATGTTTATATGAAATAATTACTTTTTAAAAACAAAATAAAAATCACATTGTAGCACTGCTAAAAAATAAAATTTAAATAAACGAAGTGAGAATTTTTTATCAGTTTATTACAAAAAACAAAACACTAGCAACGTAAAAGGGTAATCCGACCACGAACACTATCATGTTAGAAAATTGTTGATAATCTCAGAAGGTTCTTATGCTTAATTCTGTTTTTGAATGAAAACATTTTAAAGAAAATAAGTTAAACTTCCCCTTATATTAACCTTTTATAATTCAGAAAAAGGTTTTCTTTAGCTTGGTGGCGACTTATTTGTCTTCTCGCATAAAATAGATAATTTTTATTAATTCAACATAAGCGCGACTCCCACCCACATTTCCCGGTTAGTCGTTTCACAACTTACCCTCGGACACCCCAGTCCTGAGGTGTCAGAGGATGTCTAGAAGAGCTAGCCACAGGGCTATAAAATTAGGCCAGTCTTAGGTTTCGTGTTACGATTGAAAATTTTAACTTATAGTATTAAAAGAAAAAGTGCAGAGAAATATTAATATTTGTTTGTTCGTATTTTAAAAAATCAAAATAAATTGGCTATCAAGTCCAGCGTACTTGTATAGAGTTCAGTGATTGAGGTGATATTAAATGCTCTTAAATTGTATTATTAAATGATTAAAGTGAAGGCGATTGTTTAGATAGTGTAGAAATCACTGCAGCTAACGACCCATAAACTTAATAATAATTATTGAGAAAGATTTAATACTTGTGTTATGAAAAGTTTTGTGTACAAGAAATTATTTAGATTAGAAAAAATATTGTGTTTTTTAAAATTTCCAATCTGCATTATAACTTAAAATTAATTTTTCCTATTTCCCTGTTATTACGATGCTGCTGCGGCCACATTGTCGCGTTAAGGCGACAATTTGATTTGTTGCGACACGTCTGGACAAGCAATTCGTCATATCGTGAATCACTCAGGCAAACTCGAATGCCGCTCGCGCGACTGTGAGTAAATTTTTGTACATCGAAGAGTTTTATCGCGACTAAGTTCATGCGATTGTTTACAGTCTACACTTCGCTCTCTGTTTACAGTGTCTTGTCTTTACATTTGTCTTGGATTATTCTGATTTTGTCATAGGAAAAATATGAACTAGAGTAACGAAACACTTTTGAAATTCACCATCGTCTTTTATTTTCATTTTTTAATCTTTTATTTATATAGTAGAATTATTCAAGTGTTAAAGAGGCATATAATACAGCGCAACCGCGTCTTCAATTATCTCGCGCCTAGCGGAACCATCTCGCCGTTTTTAATCTCTCTTTTAATAAATTTTTAATCTCGGCCGTCGGATCAGCCATGTGGATCGTCGTAGAGTGAACACGAAGTTTTATTGTGAAAACGCGACACGAATCTTTGCGCGACAATGTGACCCTAGCATAAACATGAAACACGATTACGCCACTCATTCTCTCCCGGCTTAATTTAAAAACTACCATAATTAATAGATATTCTGTTACAGTAAAATAAACAACGTATATGCAATTACACGGTACTGTAATTGAATCAAATTTAAACTATTTAGCGGATTCTATCAAAAACTACATTAGCGCATACAACTTCTTGATAAGCCGATATTAATCGAAAGAAAGAATTGTTGAAAACATGTACATATTCTTCTGAGAAAGACACGTCGCTAAGACAAGCGAGCACATTGCATATTTTTTTAAATACATTGGGAATTCTCATAATGTTGATAAGTACGTCTTCATGCAAAAATCTTTCTTTACATAAGTTAAGTTGCTTTTCCGTCAACGAAAATTGTTTTTTCTGTGATTTCCATTCACCAGTGCATATAATGCAGTTACAAACATTCCCGAACAGATCGAATGATATAGAATTTCGTACATGAGGTTCTCCATCATATAATAAATAATGGCCTCTGAAAAAACAAAAGATATATAATTAGAAACTTAACAAATGAGATGACTGTAACGACAACCTCGGAGTAAGGTGAGGTGGTGTAGTGATGGGAAAACACAATAAAACGACAGCTCAGGCTTAGACGATCTGCGACAACATTAAAAGATTAATCATGTTAGATGCTGTGGCCCATTACGTCTATTAATAGACAAAATGCAGAGGCGTTGTCACCCCTGAGGACTAAGGTGAAATGCCTCTTTTCCAGTAAAAAGACACAGCAGCATTAAGTGGCTTTTTCACTCTGGTATTCTGTGAGAGCGCGGTTCCTTGGCCGAGCCAACTCTTTCGTACTACAAATATAATACAGCTGCAACATGGCTCTATGTACAGAGACTTAACTGAAGTAATAACTTATAATAACGTTTACAAAAGGCGTCTTAGTACTATTTCACGATATAATCGAATTCTATACATCCAGCTATTCAAGCGTGACATATGAACAAACATCCATAAAAACATACTTTTTTAGTTGTATTTAGGTTCCCGCCCGATATTAATATTATTAGGCCATTTTGTACATTATCATCATCATCATCATCATCAGAGCAAGTAGACTGTATTAATTAATATTTGTAAAACACTGTTCATTTCAATATTGTGAAGACATGATTTCACTTTATTGACGGTTCTGTTGAAAGAGGTACGCACCTATAAACAATCCACTGCACTATTTACAAAGGCGGCACTGTAATATTAATTAATTTACTATCATTGTAAGGTATCTTCCTTTTCTTCTTAGCCTTGTTGTTCTTGTTGGCTGGAGCTCTTCTGCGCCGCGAATGTCCTCCGGCGGTCAGATGCCCGCCAATTATTCTTGCGGCGGGCGTCGCACGACCGACGTATTCCCGCGCTAGCTCTGAGCGCGGCGATTGGTCGCGACACATCCACAGCTGAACACAGGCCTCCCTCATACATTGATCTCACGCTTGGCGGGCGAGTTGGCAATTCAGTTTCCCTCTGTCGCCTCTTATGATTTGTGATTTTCATACTAATTTTTTATGCAATCAGAGCAACTAAGAATTAATGAAACATAATTATAACTTAACAAAAAGTAAAAACCGACTTTAAATTGCTAAAAAAGAAGTTATTTATTTGTTACCCTTAGGGGTCAATTCTTTTCTCCATATTTATATGGGACCGCCCTTGAAGTATAATCTATTTAATAAAAAAAGAATCATAAAATTCGTTCACAATCTGCGAAGATATCGCGTAACATAGTTGAGGATCTTCTCCTTTCTGAAGTCGGTTAAGAAAATAAGTACAGGAAATGGCCTATGGCGTTTTATAATACCGTTCCGTATGCTTTAAAGTATTATAGTTGCACAACTATCAATAACGGGTAGTATAAAAAAAGAAGAAAATATACTTACATGTGAGAAACAGTTAACTCTGATCCCTTTTTTATAGGCTTCAACGCAATCAACAACATTTTTTTATTTAAATTGATAACAAATAGATTTGGAATGCAAGATTCTTTTAATTTACCAATTAAAGGATACCATCCGTGATTTGAAATTGGATTGAGAAACGATTTTCTATTTTTGGTATCTGATACACGGAGATTAACTGGTGTGGGGGAAGCGTAAAGGCTAAAATACATCATGATTCTTCCCAGTGCTTTCTTAGCAAGTTTCCTTTCATCAAATGAACTAGGCAAATAGCCAGATATTCTTTCTAAATAATAAATAAATGTAGCACATACAAAACTAGCTGAATACATTGATCCATGCACGAACAGCCGATTATCATTAAAATTAAGTACCGAGAACTTATTATTGACATCGTACATGACCTGTTCTGAACTGATGCGTATCCTGTCAGCACCAGTGCAATGCGAAGATGAAATTACTTTTTTCCATGACCCACACATTTGGACAAAATTTCAAAGTGCCTTTTATCATCAATTTCGCCATAGGACTGAAAGCTATGCTTTGAATAACCTCCATAATTTGACATTCGATGCTATGGTACTCTTTTAAACATATTTCTTTGCATTCTTCACTACAAAACAAAACTAAGCAACAACCTTCACATGGTATTAGGTTCAAAGACATTTTATGGCAGTAATGGCAAGAAAATGGTATATTTTCTTCGTTATTACAACTTACAAACGAATCTTCTAAAACCAGAGGAGTTCCCACTTTAATATCTTTTGCTGCAACTACTTTAAAAATACTTTCTTTTATAACTTCTATGTCAGAGCTAGCGCAAGGTATAGAAGTATTGGATTTAACATCAAATTTAAAATAATCTTTAAAGTAACTAGTAAGCAAACTTGCAGTAATATTTTCTGTTTTACTTCTTTTTGTAGCTTTATTTTTCCTTTTAATAAGCTTACTTTCAATGTCTGTGGGGCAACCAAGTTTACAACAAGTTTCTATGTCAATTAAACATTTACTAAATTGTTCCATTTTAAATAAAATTGCCGACCTGTTGCTATAAGCGAGTTTTATGGCTCTTGAAGTTTTCGGCGCATACATCAGAGCTCTATTGTAAAATTCTAGAGCTCTGTATACATTCCCAACTTTAAATGCTATATTACCTTCTTCCCGATATTTATCAGATCTTTTCTCACATTTGTTTTCTTTTTCTATCGTTGGTAAACTTCCACTTTCCTCAAGTACACTGAGAGCAGCCATAACTACATCAGAGTAATCATCATTTTTCATTGCTGCGTAGATTTGATTGCCAAGACCACGCTCTCTCAAATAATTATTAAAAAAATTGGGCGTAAGAAACATCTTGCTTCTGAAAACAGTAATCAGTTAATAAAACATCGGTAATGATTTTGAACTTAGCGACACGAAGTTATTTCAAAATTACATTTCTCTTTAACTAAGAAGTGACATTATCTATCAACCATCATCACATCAGGAGTCCCAAAGCAATATTCCGGATCTCAAATATAGGTACCCCTATAATATATTAGTAAGAAAGCGCAGTAATCTATAACCCCAAATGTATCCCAAAAAATGGTGATTTTTCCAGCGATTACGACACAATTTTAGGAGGAGCTGTCTTATTTATTTATATATTTATGCTTTATTGTTATCGTCTTATTGTAAAATGTGAAGTGGTCGTGTAGTGGTGGTGTAAGAATATCCACCACTATCCTATACCATCCCGCGGGCTAGTTCATCCAAAGTTTCGCATTTATAATAAGTAAGATAATGGATGTTTGTTACTCAATCACGCCAGAACGGCTGAACGGATCTGGATGAAATTTGGCGCAGAGATGAGTGACTATGAAAGTGACTATGAAATTGCACGTCACTGGATATGTCCACGCCAAGGATTGCGATACTAGCTGATGCGACAAGGGGAGTGCTCTGAACCTGAAGAGATACGACAAAGGGGTCCTTTTTAGTAGTAAGCGCGCAAACTTGTTCTGGGGATTGAAATGGACTAGATTTAGTCGCCTGCAGTAGGAGACTGTGTTTAACAAAGTCTCGACTTTAGATTTCAGACTTTTGATTCTCACGCTCTAGATCGCGCTTTACGGTGAGCATTTTTTAAATCGGGTTAGAAAGATTTTTTTCCGAAGAATGACCTTCCTAGTAATTTTTGTACGAACTTAGTTTTGCTCCTTTGATTTTAAAAAATATTTATCTCGATCAATGGTTACGGACTTGATTTCGATTTATTACTTTGCTGTTTTGTTTTAGTTCAGGTACATACTATAAATAAATTGTTTTTAGGCTAGTTGTGTCCTTTTGTAATTAAATTGTAGTTAGGTTAGTTATATCTTTGTGCTCATAGGTTTAAGTACATTGGTCTTGGTTAGTTATAATTTGTGTGATTTGTTGTTATTAAGTAGTTTTTCGAAATGCCCGGAAAACGCAATTCTGATCTTTCGCGGAGGAGTGATAAAGCTTGAGCTATGAAAGTTGCTACAAGTCGAGAGACTTCTTCTTAAGCGGAGCTTAGAAGATTGAGAAAATTGGGCGACAGGCTGCTTAGAGATCAGCTGAAACACCAGAGCAGTCAGAAATGAGGCGAATACAGCACGCCGACTATTTGACAACTTAACGTGCTGCTGAAACTACGGAGTAAACCCAAAAAGGCAGCAGAATATTTAACTCTTCACTCAGCAGACAGCTGAGTGAAGAGTTAAATATTATCTCTGGGCAATCATCAAAAGAATTAGCTCTGCCTATAAACAACATTCAAAACAACTTATCTGGCTACCAAGATCAAGAACAAGTGTTCCTGACGCCACTGCCTATTCTTCTCCCCGGCTCGTGTCGTCGGGCGGCGGACCTCAAACCAGTTCTGCGGGCGCTTCACAGCCCCACCACCTTCATGGCACCACAACGCGGCACGACAACAACGCGCCTCTTGCTCGGAACAACCCGGTCGCGAACGCACGCATTACGGCTACCTCTCTTATAGCAACCAATAAATTACCTATACAGTCTTAATATTGAAATTCTTATTTAGTCAAGAATTCCACCAGCACAAGTGTAGCTTGACACCCATCAGTGGTCTTGAGAAGCCTTAACCGGTATGACACGCGAGTCGTGTCTTTTTAAAAGTCGTTAAACTCGCTCAAATTTTCTGGATATTTTGAAAATTTGAAATTTTTAGGGGTTGACAACCTTTTTTTAACGTGTACATGGTACTATTTTTACTTTGTGGGTTTTAAATCATGTTGTGGAAAAATTGTCTAATAAGTAACAAATAATAGCACTCATTGCGATCGCTCACAAACTCAAGTTGTAAATAAATTTCTGGAAAACAAGTCTCATGTTAAAAAAAACAATGCGTTTGTCTTATTCTTATCAATACAATACAATACAATACAATACAATAACTTTATTTCAGGCATCAAGGACTTAAAAATTAAGAACATTGGCCCATAGCAATATATACCTTAACCTAAAAATATATATAAAATATAGACATAACTTAACACTATTTAGGGAACTTTTTTCTTTGGCGCGTCCCTGTATCGGCGAAACACTACCCCAGAGGGCCAGAAATCGGGAGCGAGGAATGTCTCTTTATGTTTTGCAGGAACCTGGAGTACGTAGGATTTGAAGTTCGTTGACCTATTAGACTCCAGACGCTGCAAATGTAAAGAGATCGGATCCTCAATGCGGCATCGGCTTCGTTCTTCCACGAAGCGCAGGACGTCTTCTTCCGACGTACTTTTGTCCAAACGGGAGATCTAGAGTTGTATGGTTGGCTCCACAGCACGCAGAGTTGTACTCGCGTTTATTTTCGCGGTCCCACGCTGGTTACAGACGGGTCGCGACCGACGTCTCTTCTCAACAAGAGTAAACCCGTCCTTATCAATCTTGTCTTGGGTCACCACTGGAACTGATTTTATTTCCACATTCTTCCGCTTTCGACCACAAGAGGGTGCCGGTTGTAAAGATTTTCGGGCAACATCCGCAAACGTCTTCCCTTGTTTTGAGGTTGGCTTCGGCAGAGGAGTACCAATGGGTTCAGTCAAGGGTTGAGGTGGTGATGCAATGACGACCGAGGTCGCCCTAGTTTCTCGGTCATCAACCCGCTGACAGACGGTATCGCGTGACGGAGTCGCAATCATCGGTGAAATATGACTACTATTACGGTTACCGCGTGTCGTATTCACATTCTGCGACGGCGGTGAATTTGCAGATGTTGCAATTATGTTGCGCAACATATTGACTTCGTTCCTCAGCTCTGTTGCGGCTCGTTCTGATTCCTCAAATTTGGAACGGATGTCGGTAATATCGGCTCTCAACGTGGTGATGTCTTTCAACAATCTGGTGACGTCTACGTGATCGAACGTCACGAGAGGCAGCTTGTTGAGATCACGCGCGACGAAAGTTGGGATGTCATCAGGGTCGGTCTCATTGAACAGCCTGAAGATGTCTTGCAGGTCTTTCTTACCGCGTCCATCCCTGTGACGTGTGATAAGACGGATTTGGGTCACGGCTGAATCTGCTAACACCTTCTTCGCTTGGATGATCTCGTCCTCGGTGAAGCTTGTCATCAGTATCTGCTCCAGAGACACCTGGTCCATGACGTCCAATTTTTGTTGAACAAAGGCCAGCAACTCGTGGATTACGACGGTTTCGGAACGTTTAGGTTGACACGCCATTTCGAATTATTTTTGCGCAGTAGGTATGCTTACTCTACAAAAATACTGTAAGTTCGGCATTAGAGCCGTCACGTCATTATGAAGCGACTGCACTAACCGGTAGTAGAATTGCGACTGATATACTTTTCTTTTCAAATTAAGGTTCTTCATTGTTTGATATTTACAAATGTTATTATTAGGTGAAAATTTAATTTAATAAAAACCAAGGTTTCCAGGGTGATTTAGCTGTACCTACTTATATAAATGATTTTTTTATAACAACAAAAAATAGTACAAAAGGTTTGTAATCTCTTCATAAAAAAAGTCACTTTCTCTCAATTTCAAAGAAAACGCGTAAAAAACACGTAGTTACCCACTAAAAACAAGTATCCTTCCATTTGTAACTTATGTTTGATGTCAAATAAACTTAATTAGGTCTAAACAAGTAAAAAAAGCATAAAAAGAACATTACTTTTACACAGTGCGGATGGCATAATAGGCGTGTCTTGAAATATTTGTTCGCCGCCACAGCTAAAAGTTGTCGAAAATTGGTGCCGCAACGAATCGGTTAAAGAGGTCGCCGACTTATTTGCTGCATAATTCGTCCGTGGCAAAGATGTTTTATAGGTCCAGATACCGTGTACGCGCGCCTAAAACGCTTCCATTTCAAAGGCGCCAATATTGGCGTATTCGTTCGATCGTTCCGCCATTACGCCAGCGACGTTCGCTGTGAACATACGTCACGCACCGGTGTTTTTAATTTCGCAAAATGACTGTTTGTGCTGTGAAATCATTTAAAAATTACTCTTGGAAAAAAGATAAGGATAAGAACATCACTTTTCATAAGTAACTATACAATTTTATGGTGTATTTCTTTGTAAAAGAATACGAAAGCTAAATGTCAATACAAGTAATAATACAGCGCAATAATATTCGAGTGTTGCCTAGTCTATGAAATGTTTTTACCATTTTTTAATGTTATGATCAACCACAAAGGTTATCTGTATAGGGGTTTTAAACAGTCTAACTTTACAGATTTTACCCAACCTATAGAGTTAAACCGTTTTAAGGGTTAGGGTTGAACTACATCTGGCAGCATGAAATTGCACTTTCCTGTGCTTCTATCCTTTTTGGTCACTCAGAACCGTTATAGTGTAACCGGTACAGTTCCACCCTCAAAAAGCCGATTGTAAACCGGTTTTAAAAGTTTATCTATCATTCTTGACAATTCATACAAATATAATATTATAAATGTGAAAGTGTGATTTTTTTGTTTGTTTTTGTCCTTCCTTCACGCAGCAACGGAACGGAGCAATTTAAAAAAAATAAACATTTTGCTATGTCTTGGCTGAAGTTTACGCTTAACCAAACTTACTTTTTTTCGGATTGAAAAATAATTTAATGTCTTCGTAAAAAGTGTCAATATTTTGTGTTCTACAGTACAAAAGTGTAGTACTCTGTATATATTTAGTAATAATAGATTATAAATATATGTTACATACATAAATATCTACTGTGCTTTTTTATTTATTTTAACTGTTACGTGAATTATAGGTTTTTTTACATATCTACAATATTTTAGTGCGATGTTCGTACCTACATAAAACACACATAAGCAACCATATCCCCATACACACACACACAAATGCACACGCCACGCACACACATTTTATACTCTTAGAATCAATAGGTACGTCAATAGGAATGAAATATAAAATCTCCCACATTTTTTGGGCAATCGATTCGCACTGTTATTACCGAAGTCACGCACATTAATGCAGCCATGGTGCGTAAGATATGCGCGTCACGTGGTACTCACGCACACATGAATCAAAGACTGTCTTCATTATAAACGTTGCGGTGTGTTAGCAACACGGTATCTGGACCTATAAAACATCTTTGGTCCGTGGACTTTGGACAGACTGCCGACATTTTGGAGGACATTTAGAGGACAGTCAGAACCAGATTTTACTGAGTGAGTCCGTTCCAATCTTTTCTTTTTCCGCCTTTCTTAATTTCATTTATCCAGGAATTTAAAATGGTACTATATGGGTCATCGCGCTATTGATCTCTTCATAAGTATCTAATTATTAAACTACAGTAAAACCCGCTTAAGACAATTTTGAAGGGACCCAGCCAATATCGCGCCTTAAGCGGGAAAGCGTAAAATAAAACATCATTTACAAATATTGTGTAGGTATTGAATTATAGGTATACGAATTTATACATTTGTTAGAGAGGTATAATGTTGTGCATATTTATATGTATTTAAATACGTTACATCATAGTTAATTATTATATAGTGACATTACTTAAAATAATCACTTATTTTGGTTTGACAAAAAGATTTTGATGCATTATTAATGACAAGGCTTTCAATATAATTTAAATTTTGCAGTGCAGCTTCACTTTTCCCGAAAGAAGATACATAGCACCTTAAATCGTTTACTGCTGATAATGCCGCTGCGTTTGACAAAATCGGAATTGACTCTCCTTTATCTTCATCGTCATCACTTAGGGCCTCTTTTTGGGTGTTATTCACATCTTGAATAAGATCTTCAATGGAACAGGTTTCGTAGAGTGCAACATTGTAATCAATGGAAGAATATCCAGAAAAACCCTGCAGTATCGCGGGTTCTTCTCCCAACAGGACATCAGATTCGTTATGTCGGAAACCTGCTTTCTTGAAACAATTTTGTATGGTTTTAGGCTTAATTGCATGCCATACCGCTGCAATATTTAGGATGGCTTCATGCACATTCAAGGGTCGTTTGCTGTCAGGGTCTTCCATTTCTTTAAGGTAGCGATGTATCAATCGTGTTCTGTAGCCTTGTTTAAGGACTTTTATAATGCCCTGATCCATTGGTTGCAACTTTCTTGTCGCATTCGGAGGTAAGAAAACAAGCGTGATGTTCTTTAGTTCAACATCTTTAGGGAGAGCGGGGCAGTAATCAATGAAGAGAATTATGCGTCTACATTTAATCTGGAAGTGATCACCTAAAGCTTTTGACCAGTTAATAAAACGAAGGCCAGTCATCCAAGATCGAGATTGTGCATCATATGTTACAGGGAGCGATTTCACGTTTTTGAAGCAACGTAGATTTTTCGCCTTACCAATCACTAGCAAACGTAACTTTTGCAACCCAGATGGCATATTAGACGGGATGACGAATCGTATTAAGCGTGTTAAAAATGTATGAAAACATGCCCCAAGTTGCAGGGACTGGCATAAAATGGCCTATTAAACGAGAAATAGTATTAAACGTGATCGTATTAAGCGAGTTTTACTGTAGTAAAGTTTATTCATATTAACTAATAAATTATCTTATTGTTTTCGTATTTATTTACATCGCATAGCATCCCTTTTATTAATTTTCATAATCATAATGCCTTTGTTCGCGCTCAAAGTTTTATTTTACCCACGTGTTCGCCGCACCATTTTAATCTTTCAACGCTTCGACATTCCTTTCATTGTGAACTAATTAAGACCGTTTTATATCACTTGCAAAGTAACATCTGGCCGCCTTTTTTTGCTTTCTTAGCCACCTGTTACGCTCATCATTTTTTGCATTTTTATATTTGTATGCCTTTTCTATTGCATTGCAAATTTGCATAGTATTTTAATTGTATATTAAGACTTCTTAGAATAATGTCTGACGCTAAATTGAAAGAATTAGAAGACGGGGAAGTTTAAAAGCAAAGCTTACTCATTTTGCTACTTTTTTAAATTTAATTCAGCCTTGCACCAATTTAAGCCCTTCTCAGTTAGCGGAATTGGATTTCCGTCTTGGTAAAACAGAATCACTTTACGATGAATTCGACATGTTACAGACAGAGTTGGAGCTGATGTCGGAGGACATTGAAGCCGCGTACTCAGAGTGGGAGCAGTTCTAGGTGCAATATTACGAGCAGGTATCCCGAGCTCGCGCGCTCCTCTCGAAGTTGACGCATGCCGTGGTACCCACTGCGTCCCTCAGTGACGATGGAACCCGCAGAGTCGCCTCTGGTTGCAAGCACGACTTCGTCAGACTACCAAAGATAGACTTGCCTCATTTTTCTTCATTTATTTCTTTATTATTAACATTATTTCTTCTCCTTCAAATCCTTCTTACAATAACCAGGCTCTTGCATTGCTTTCCACAGCATTGGCAAAGGTGTCAGACGTCAATGGAGGCCTTCATACTGCCCGAATCCTCTTGGACAACGGTAGCACTTCAAACTTTATCACCCGCGACCTGTGTGAAAAGCTCGGCTATTAACAGTCAGACTTCAAGTACCTCAGAGACCTGTAACTTGCATATTCAGTCTTATTTTGATGGTTATCAGGCGAACATTGACTGTTACATTCTACCTAGAATTACAAATTCACTGCCTAGATCTTATATAGATATGCATCAAATATCTATACCGCCAGGTCTTCAATTAGCAGATCCTACCTTTAATCTACCTTTAATTCCGTCCTCCATGGTGGCATTACACCGGAGGCGTGGAGCAGAAGTGCGGTGGTCTTGTTCTTCAAGAAAGGCGACAACGCTCTCTTGAAGAACTACAGACCGATTTCCCTTCTGAGCCGCGTCTACGTGCTGTTTTCGAGAGTCATTACGAATCGTCTCGCGTGCAGACTTGACGACTTCCAGCCTCCCGAACAAGCCGGTTTCCGAAAAGGCTTTAGCACCATAGACCACATACATACCCTTCGGCAAATTGTACAGAAGTCCGAGGAGTACAATTTGCCACTATGTCTGGCGTATGTGGACTATGAGAAAGCCTTTGATTCCGTCGAAATTTGGGCGGTGCTGCAGTCCCTTCAGCGATGCCAAGTTGACTGCCGGTATATCGAAGTGTTGAAGTGCTTGTACAGTAGGGCTACGATGGCTATCCGAGTACAGAACCAGAGTACGAAACCTATCCAATTGCAGAGAGGTGTAAGACAGGGTGACGTCGTATCCCCGAAATTCTTTACCGCTGTATTGGAAGATGTTTTCAAGCTTCTGGACTGGAAAGGATACGGTATCAACATCAATGGCGAGTACATCACTCACCTTCGATTTGCCGACGTTATAGTCCTTATGGCAGAATCGCTGGAGAACCTAAGCACTATGCTCAATGACCTTAATAGTGTTTCCCAACGGATAGGTCTTAAGATGAACATGGACAAAACAAAGATCATGTTTGATGTCCATGTCACACCTATGCCGGTAGTTGTTGGGAACACTAAGCTCGAAGTTGTTGAAGAGTATGTTTACCTGGGACAAATAGTCCGAAAAGGTAAGTCCAACTTAGACCGAGAGGTCAATCGACGGATTCATCTCGGTTGGGCAGCGTTCGGGAAATTACGGCACATCTTCTCGTCAGGTATACCTCAAAACTTGAAAACGAGACTGTACACACAGTGCGTGCTGCCAGTGAGGACATACGGAACTGAGACGTGGTCCTTCACTGCTGGCCGGATGAGGAAGCTCAAGGTCACTCAGCGAGCTATGGAGAGGGCTATGCTCGGAGTTTCTCTGCGTGATAAACTCAGAAATGAGGATATCCGCAGTAGAACCAGAGTGACCGACATAGCCCAACGGATTAGTAAGCTGAAGTGGCAATGGGCCGGCCATATAGCTCGAAGAACCGACAACCGATGGGGAAGAAAGGTTCTCGAGTGGCAGCCTCGTACCGGCAGGCGAAGTGTAGGGTGTCCCCCCATTAGATGGAGTGACGACCTGGTAAGATATGCAGGAAGTCGATGGATGCAGGTGGCTCAGGACCGTGATTTGTGGCATTCTTTGGGGGAGGCCTATGTTCAGCAGTGGACTTGTGAAGGGCTGTAATGATGATGATGATGATGATGATGAAGCTTCTACCACCGAGCGGCCAATATGTTAGTCTTATATTTGCTAAAAGTAGTTGAGGTCCTGCATGAAAGAGAGAGAGGTGGTACGATTTAAATATTATTTTAGTGAGGTGATGTTTACTACAGAGTAATATAGGATGCTTTATATCGTAAGTGTAGGTAGAGTTCTGAAGGGGTTCGCCTATACGTAATATGTTAAAAGAATCAATAAAAGGAGAGAGACTGATCAATCTATTATTACTGTGTATTATATTATTGCATTTAAGAGTATTATATTCCTCAGGGAACATTTCCTGCTGAGGACATTGTATAATTAGATTTTGTGAACGCTGTAATTCTGAATGAGACAAGTGAGATAAAAGTTTATTATATGCAAATCTGCAATTATGAATAAACGTATTGACATAGGCTAAGGTTCTGATTAATTTGGTAAATGATGAAAGTTTGTAATGAAGTTTCAGGTAACGTAATATTTTGACTATTGGGACATGTTGGAAATTAATTGACGGGGCTGTGAAGAAAATCTGGACCAGACCACCAAAGTGTAGACGCGCTGATAGTATCAGCCTTCACCCCGCGGGATACGAGATCTGCATGATTCAGTTTGGTAGGCACGTAGCTCCACGTCTGGCCGATTGTGGCTTCCTGCACCTCAGAAACTGTTACGTACAAAATTATTAAGTCCATGCACAGAAGACACGGAGTCTAACTCCCAAAAGTGTGTAAGCTGTTCAGACTCTTCTTGTGACGTAAAATGACACAAAGAAGGCAGAGTACAAGGAGGCGTTTGAAACACACAACCTGAAAGACGCCAACCCAATTTGGATGAGTGAAGCATGGGTTGGTTATTACCTAAAGTTATAAAGTTTGAACCTAAGACGTCCCAAAAGACTTCAGCGAATACGAGAATATCGATGGCTGAAGGTAAATTAAAGGTAGGATCTGCTAATTAAAGACCTTCTTGTGACGTAAAATGACACAAAGAAGGCAGAGTACAAGGAGGCGTTTGATACACACAGCCTGAAATAAGCCAACCCAATTTGGATGAGTGAAGCTTGGGTTGGTTATTACCTAAAGTTATAAAGTTTGGACCTAAGACGTCCCAAAAGACTTCAGCGCCTACGAGAATATCGATGGCTGAAGGTAAATTAAAGGTAGGATCTGCTAATTAAAGACCTTCTTGTGACGTAAAATGACACAAAGAAGGCCGAGTACAAGGAGGCGTTTGATACACACAGCCTGAAATAAGCCAACCCAATTTGGATGAGTGAAGCTTGGGTTGGTTATTACCTAAAGTTATAAAGTTTGGACCTAAGACGTCCCAAAAGACAAGAATATCGATGGCTGAAGGTAGATTATAAGCTAGGTAGAAGCTTAGCTAAACAAATTGTACGAATTTGTATTCGATGTACTCGCGTAAAGGGCAAGCCCATTCAGGTCATTATGGATAACCTGCCTAGTGATAGGACGCAGCTTGATTTCCCATTTTAACCACAGGCTTAGATTTTGCCGGGCCAGTGCTAATAGCGGATAGTAAAGGCAGAGGTTGTAAGCTATATAAAGTATAGAAGTCATATATTTGTGTTTTTGTGTGCTTTGCAGTTACAGCCGTCCACTTGAAGTTGGTCTCCGATCTAACAAAGGAGTCTTTTCTTGCCGCCTTTAGTCGGTTTGTCGCACGTCGTGGCAAGCCTCAGCGCGTGTACTCCGACAATGGCACTACCTTTGTAGGAGCTTTCAATGAACTTAAACGATTTTTACTATTATCTCACAATGACATAAAGTCGGACATTGCAAACCAAAGCATAGATTTTAAATTTATACCACCTTATTCATCTCATTTTGGGGGCATTTGGGAGGCAGCAGTAAAGTCAACCAAACATCTTTTACGTCGTACTCTTGGTCTTACTCATCTAACTTATGAAGAACTTTCGACTTGTCTGAGTCAGATAGAAGCCATCTTAAATTCCAGACCGTTGCCCCTATGTCCTCAGATCCTTCTGATCTCTCCTATCTTTCCCCTTCTCACTTCCTGATCGGACGACCACTCATATCAATTCCGCATCCTCAGATCGCTAACAGCAACATCGAACGGCTTCCACGCTACCAGCGAGTCGAAAAGCTTCTGCAGCATTTCTGGCACCGGTATTCCAACGAGTACATTACTACCTTACAACAGCGAACGAAGTGGAAAAACGCTGATCAAGAGCTGAAGACAGGCACCATGGTCTTAGTGAAGGACGTCAATCGACCTCATCTTCTTTGGCTGATCGCCATAAAACCAG